TAGATGTCATAATAAAGACGTAAAATAAGCAAAGACATGGCATATGTAAATTCCAAATGTTTTTTGACGAATTTATTATAACAAATCACACAATAATAATGATGATAATAATAATGACAATACATAAACATACCCATACATATATATATTATATATATATATATATATATATATATATACATATATATATATACATATATATATATATATATATATATATATATATATATATATATATATATATATATAATCTGCAACCAACCAATGGGCACTGTGGCTTTGCGCGCACCAGTCAGTCAAGTGAGCAATAATGGAGAGAGAGGCAGATCCATACGGCTCTGCCTCACATCCAAGAATGACCACAGGATTAGCCTCGAACCCCCACGCACTTCCTCCTAGTGACGAATTTGAGTCGCTTAGTGACGAGACCTGTACTTATACAGACCTTGCCTGGAGATACCCGAGGGAAAACACGCTCTCGTTTGTGTTATCGCTGGCTCCCCTCAACCCCCAAGACTTCGCACTGAAGTGTATTCCAGCTTTGTTACCTTGGTCTAGTACAACGCGGGTCTTTCAAAGTGCAACCTTAGAATAGAAGAGCTGTTTATTAAAAGTGGTAGCAGGCGTGCAGCATGACCCGCTCGTCACAACTCTGTGGCCCTTTTTACTAGCACGTATATAATTCTTTTGTATTGTAAATTATCTTTAATAGTTGGTCATAACTATAATTAACTTTCCCATTCTTTCCTCATATGATCTACCAGTGTAATAATTTTCTTTTTCCATTTTATCTGTCGTATTCCAGTTTTAAAAACATGCCCATACTTAATGTTAAAACCAGATAAAAAAGCAATAAAAAATAAAAGAACTAAACAAACCAAGGATAAACGAAACCAAAAAATTGAAAAAGAAAACCTGAGATGCCCTCAGTCTGCATTCTTCAAATTTGCACATATACCACATCCTAATTGGTCTCTTACAAAGAATGAAAATATACATCTCTCTCATAGACTTACAAACGGAAAACAACAAAATACCAGGGAGACATCCAGTGTGCCCGGCCGCTCCGTGAGCAACACTATGCTGATCAGACGAGTTACATGCACAGTGGTCTTTTTCTTTTTCAAAAATTCATTTTTTCATTTTTTTATTTCAAATAACATGGCATGACAACTAGCCCAGGCCTTTATTTTGATGCATAATAGTAATACATTCAACGGCATTACTCATTGCAATACATTATCAACTTTGAACATGAATTACTCAAATCTAATATTTTGGGCTTAATCCCCTCTCGCATATTGGGCCTCATAAAAATAAATAAATAAATAAATAAATAACCCGAGGCCATAAAAGAAAGCTAATAAAAAAGAAGATAAAAGTATAATAAAACAATAAAATGCTCCAAGGATAAAAAAGTGGCACAGGTGGTTGTCAAGAGTGACCACAGTTGGTGCTGTGATGTCAACAGGGGGGACACTCCTAGTCTGGACTCACACCATAGTGGGGGTACCTCACATCCACTGCAGCACCAAAATGACTGCTTCGGCCCAGGTAGCGATGCTTACGGCCAGACCTGCATGTACACAAGATCAGTTGAACCGCGCCGTAAGTGAATGAATCAGCCTTTAACGTCTTTAAGAGCATCTGCTACTTTGTGTCTGCAGAAAATTACTGACCAGCGTTGACCTGCTGAGGTCACTCATCTAAAAGTGCCTATCAATCTTCTACTTATCCTAAACAAAGGTCATACAATAGGCCAGTATTCTTCAGTGAGGTCTAAGTGCAGGTGTGGAGACTTTACTACCGTACATCCTCTATATAAAACCGGAAAATAAAGCATACTACAAAGTATTCTGGTTCTGAAGTTGTCAATATTATTCCTCTACGAACTACAGCAGTCAGTACCTACAACCTGGATCATGGTACTTGACAATATATGCAGGATAGTATTCGTCTTTGTTATACTTTACGAAGATGTTGGGTGCATTATCATCATTACAGGTGGTATCAAAGCACCTGTCAAATGCACTATTTTGGGGAGGAATCTCCATGTCTCTGTTTCCCCTTGTCAATGTTCCTACTAGGACGAAAGCTACAAACACTGCTTTTAAGCCCAATTCGTTTTCACTGTAACTATTTGACAAATTTGAATCATTTGTGAAATATGTCCCTTTACCATGGACATTACCCACGTTAGTGCCAAACAGTCGCCAATCAAAGCTGTCACGGCAGATCAGATCAATTACTTTATGCTTTGTCCCGTGGAACATGTACTGTTCATTGACAAGGGACAAATCATTTTTGTATAGTGACAAAAGAAGCTTTTTCTTGTTCTGGTAAGCTTTCCAGAGATGGTTATTCTGAATGCGTTCCATGGTTGCAATGCGAATACTCCCCATTCCCTTTTGCAGCAGCCCTTTAATATGCATATATTCAGAGGAGGTTGCATGGATAGGGTGCCTCAAAAAGGTTTTGCCCTCTGACAGAACTGAAAATTGGTCACTGAATGAAATATCATGTTTCTGTTTTGAAGGAAGACATGACGGTCTCCTCCGTATTTCCCTTATTTTGTTGGTCTCCATATTTTTCTGATACATGTCCATAAGGTTAATACTGTAAGGATTGCCATCAACTGTAACCTGCATAATTTGTAATCTTGCATTGATTTTCTCGTATTCCATTTGATCGCTAAGAGAAACTATATAGAACTTTTCACCAGCTCCATCTGTGTATGGGTGCCAACAACCGCTGTCATCCTTCCAGTACCAGATCCACCGTGTCGCTAAACTTATATCCAACATAATATCAGAGGGAGTTGACAGTCTGCGTATGTTCACAGAGCTGTATTGAGACTGAAGTACCATGGTCTCAAAATTCACAAACCATACTTTACTCTTAGACAAAAAGGAATAGAATTTCGAAAATGCAGGATGGGTCCGAAGGTTGCGTTCCAGGGAAGGAAGCTCAATCTTGTCATTGTCTGGTCGACTGAACATTTCTTCAAGGTAGTGGGTCTGGTTGCGAGAAAATGTTGTCCATGAATTGCCAATCTGAACCTCCCATTGGTAAGGAATTTTAGCATGAATTCTTGAACAGTCACTTTTTGTACATCTGTTCATGACACTAAACACACATATTTCATTATTCGAATCTTGTTTTTTACATCTCATGCCTCTGTGATTATTCCGAATACATTCTTGGATATCAAAGCTTTTTCTGTTAGAGACCATTCTCATAAGTAGTAGATTGTGGTATGAATTGAAATCGTGAGCATGATTACAATTATTTCTTTTGCATTGATCCTTCACCCAAAAGAGACATATGTGAAATCGCCGACAAAGCGTAGCATGACACCCGTTCTTACTGTTGTATTGGGGGCATACACGTAACCCAAATTTATCTGGAATAATATTAAACGGGACATTTCCAATTTGCGTCAGTTCAAAATTATCTGTTTGCTGCTTAGGAATGACATAATCACTATTTACGCAGTGTTTAACAGTTTGTCGGGCTGCCCTTACAGTGGATGGACTTACTGCTACATTGTTCCCTGATTTTTTTATGTGCCGACTGTTTAGACTGCTAATCTGCGATGCGGTGGCATTTGTCGCCTGTAGACCAGAATGGCTTGTGGGGTAGATGGCAGATGATGCTGAGGGAGTGGCCGATGCTGACGAGTATGGACTTGGTGGGCGGATGGCAGATGATGCTGAATGTGAGCTTGCTGAGGGAGTGGCCGATGCTGACGAGTATGGACTTGGTGGGCGGATGACTGGTGAAGCTGCATTTGAGCCTGCTGAGGGAGTTGAACTCCAATTTCCCATTGTAGCTTCTGTAACAGAAAATAAAGGCAATAACTGAAAATAATTAATGATAATGATAATTACTAATGTATAATAATAATGTAATATATATAATATATATAATATATATATATATATATATATATATATATATATATATATAAAGCCGGATGATTCCCCTTCGCACTAGGCCTAGCAGCTGCCTTCCTTTCTGACATCGCTCCTTCCACGCTTGAGCCTTGTTTGCCCAAAGAACTTTCTCCCCCTCGAGCAAGTCCGGCGAACTCACCCCTTTGTCACGGGAGAAGACCCGACACCCGAAATACAGAAGCAGGCACCTGCCCAGGACAGGAATCGCTGGATAAAAGGGCATCTCGTCAAGCAGACCAGAGAGACAGAGCAGACAGAAGAGGAGCTGAGGCTGAACAGGGCAGCTCACCCTCCGCCCTCAGCACCAGGGGCAGGGGTGTCTCGTGGAGTCACACCTCTACCTCCCAATAAACAGCAAGCCAAGACCCCTTTCATTTACCACCTCTACACTTCCAACCCTCCAATATTATATATATATATATATAATATATTTATAATATTATATTATAATATATATATATATAATATTATATATATTATATATATAATATATATATTATATATATAATATATATATTATATATATATATATATATATATAATATATATAATTACATACATATACTAAGCATATATTATATATATATTATATATATATATATATATAGAGAGAGAGAGAGAAGAGAGAGAGAGAGAGGGGGGGGGAGGAGGGAGAGAAACTGAAAGAGTCACGGCTTCGGGTTAGCTAGCCACGTCCGCAGCGCTTTCGTGACCTCTGACCTGTTCTTCAGTGCTTCCACACACTCTACCTTGGGACACCGCCTTGACCGGACCTCCCCCCCCCTCCCTTGGGGCTCTCCCACGCGCGTTCCACTCGGCGCGCCCTTCCTTGCCCGGTCTTGCACGAGCACGAGATTGCCACGCCACGCACCAGCCGGCTTAACCAATAAAGGAACCAAAGCAGAATTGTGTCTCCACAACTCACCAAAATCAGGGAAAACAAACCCTGACAGTTTACATGCCCTGTAAAGGCCAGGGAAAGATGTCCAAGCATCTACCCAATCTGGCTGAACTGACTTAAGGGCCAAAATCAAACATTAAAAA